CACGCCACCACCACGCTTGTGGTTTATTGTTTTGCAGCTCCACAGTAATACCATAATCCTGTATTTATCAGAAGTATCAAGTGAAAAACACGTGGCGAGAAGCGAAAGGAAAAAAGATAAAAAAATGAAAACTAGGATTAAAGGAGACAAAATTTAAATTGGGAAAAAAAATTAAGAAAAATATAGATTTAGAAGCCGAACCCTGTCAAAACTGAAGAACGTCATTGCCATTCGTCGGCCTCGGCTAGCCGGCAACGGGGCCAAATAAAATTGTAACTTCTTAGGCCCACAGTAAACCCAATTGTTCGTGCGGCCAAGACGAGCGTAGCCGTTGCCTCCGGCAAAATCGAAGAAAATAAGCGCGGCCAGGTTAGGATCTTGACGATCATAGTTCTCAATTAGAGGACGCCGTCGCCGATTGACGCCCTCAGTCGGCGTCAACTCTTGCCAGATATAACCGTTCCTAGCCAACTCACGCCAATCAATATGGCTTGGTTAGGACGCAATGTGGTGGTGGAAGGGAAAGGAGGAAATAGAGAGAAATACAGTCACATGCATAAAAAGAAAATTTCTTGAAGTAGAAACAAAAGGGGCCCTAAATCATAGAAAATAGTTTACGAAAAGTGTCGCTTAGAGCGGTTATGATTGACACTCAGAAGTTAGGCTTAATGTCAAAAGTCGTCATGGTCTAATAACCCTGAAGACAAGTAAGCTATGATACGGCGCTGAGTTCATTTGCAGCTTATTATGGTTAGAGAAGAAAGGAGGTCGACTGAGTCACCCTCGGGGTTTGAAAGCCCCGAAATTTCATCATGTTTTTGTAGTAACGAAACTTCTGAGGTTGATGATATTTTGAAGAGGTCAACGGATTCTCTATGATTGGAGGCAACTGTGTAGGTGGAGTAAAGTATGAAAACGGCAATTACAGTCAGTTAAAGTAAGGATTTATACATCAAAATGGACAAACTGAAGTGCATTTTCCTGAATAAATTTGCTTGTAATAAAAGAAATGTACCGGACTACGCATATGTAGATGGGCCAAACTCAACTTATAAGGCGAAATAAGTCCGGATATTTTGATAATATCACTCTTCGAAAGCTTCGAACAAGGCATTTAAGGAGGAAAATTTGCTTAAACTTTCCAGTCTCTCTCAGCTAAAGTGGAAGAATATGAGTCAACCACCCAAACAAACCTTAAGAGAGAAGTAATTTCACCCGAATCCAAATGAATTCCTTGATTTTCTGGAAGGCTCGTTAAAATTTCTGTGGAAAATAGTATTGGAAATATGCTTCAACTAAAATAAGTGGAGATATAAAAAGTAACTGGGTTTCGATGAATCCGCTGAGATAACATTGTTGGGAAGACTTTCATTTTGTATGCATATGCATGAACGAGCGATTCGAAGATCGAACTCACCAGAAGACGACAGCTCATTCTCGTTGCATAGCAGCCGTTTTGCTTTAACACGATCTTCATGGTGACCCCATCCATGAGACAGTCTTCCTTCTTTCCGGTAAAGACGGGATGAGCTTTCGTCCATCATATCATGGACATCATCAGAGTTGGAGTTTATTCTCGTACAAGTTTCACATTAACACAATGTTACCACTTACATAAACTCATAACTTAAAGTGAAAAAATATACACATAGAATGGTTCGGTTCTTGATCTTTGCTATTGTTCATGCTACTTTTACTCGAATGTGTGTGTGTTCGTTTGTTACGCTCTAGACACTATACCGGTCCTAAATCAGAGTGATCCCTCTGGTCATCAAGGCCTAATGACCAAAGACAAAACCTAAACCACGACTACATAAGTCCGCAAGCGTTTCTGGTTGAGATAATGAGATACAAGCTTTTAAGTGTGTAACTCCGGTTACGAAACCACCTGTCATACCCTCTTAGTCTAGGCTAATAATATTTGCGAAGAAAAAAGGTGGCAAGCTTTCGTCCGTCATATGACGAACATCATCAGAGCATCAACATCATCATCACAACCAAATTCAAGCTAACGTGTCGAGAAAACTCACCGGCAACTCTTAACCCGTTAGCTTGATTTTTGTTGTGACGATGATACCCTGCTCTGATGATGTCCGTCATATGACGGACGAAAGCTTAGCACCTTTTCACCGAAATCGAAGGAGATTTTTTCTGAAACAGCGTCAGCATGAATCTTCCCGTAAAGCCAATCGACAACTGGTCAAGAGGAATCTGCCGTCGTCTTCTGGTGGAATCGACCTTCGAATCTCTTTACCAAAAACTTTCACGCAAAATAGGTTAATTAAGGTCTAAGCACTCAAAGAAAGGCATGACTAGAGCTGTGTAGTTTAGTGTGAACGTGAGACTTTTATGAGAATGAGTTTCAGCTCTGATGATGTGCCTGTCAAATGATGGACGAAAGCTCATCCCGTTTTTGCTCAAAACAAGGGAGGATGTCACGTGAACGGCGTCACACTGAAGGTCGTGTTAAAGCCAAACGGCTGCAGTACAACCGGAATCATCCGTCGTCTTCTGATGAGATCAATCTTCGAATCACTTCTTCATACGCTTTCATACGAAACGGATGTGTATGCGGCTGGGAAAACGGATGATACAAGTCACACTTACTATTGACAGGAGAATTTCGAGGGTTTACTGCATCCGTCCATACTGGCACGAGCAAAATTGACCAAGCCCATCGACCTGCCCTGAATGCGTAAGTTGGCGATGCAAGCGCCATGGTTGTTGGCCATCTTGATCAGGCGCTCCCACAACGCTTCAGCTCCGTTGGCTCCCCATTGTTCGGTGCTCACCACCTCGCCCTGTTGGTGCGGACCCCCAACGCGAATCTCCAACAGTCTGTCGATCAGCAACGCTGTTTCAGGGTCGTCGTGTCCAGCACTCGAGACTCGAGACATCAAAGTGTCAACAGACGGCTGCTGTTGCTGAAGGTTCTGCATGAAGAAGCGAGTTTCCCCGGCAATTGAGGTGGCCCGCAGGCTGTACCAGCGGTCGTTGACCACCGGCCCCAACTCGATCTCGCCGCCGGCAACGTTCCAGGAAAAACGAACCATGTTGTTCGGCTCGAGAGTAAACGCGAACATTTGCGTTCGGCCAACAAAGGCGCGTCGACCAACCAGCAGAACGCGCCCGTCCGACAGGGAGTCAGAGGCGATTTTTCGCGGCCGGAACCAGAAGGAGATGTCAAAGACGCGCGACTTACTTGCCTGATATGGCACCATGGTGTAGACACAACGGAACGAAGGAAAGTGCACCGGTACTGGATTATAGGCTGCAGCGGCGTAATTGAGATCAAGCAGAGAGCGAGCTCGTGCAGCCAATCGTCGAGACCGTCCCAATTTGGCTTCGAAGGTGCGGAAAATCTCGTTCACCTTATCGGTGCTCTTTCCGACGCGAAGCTGTGTGGTATTCGCCTGATCCACTGATAGGCAAAATTTTTGCAATTACTACTAGAATCATACCTAAGATGAGCATAGTAATGCTACTACTACTAGTTAGGATAGCAGTAGTAGCAGTAAAAGTAGCTATAATAAAAGTAGTAGTAGAAATAGTATAACTACTACTATTATTAATAGTAGTAGTATATTTGAAAGAGTAAAAAGTCGCTAAATTACCCGTCTAAATTACACACCCAGAAGAGATCATGTGAGCATAAAACCGCATGTAACTGTCTATGAGTGCATAAATCTGAACTATCTAAATGGACCGGTCAAAAACACTGTTTTGCTGGTTACGGGAACTTCATATCAAAGCGCGAGATTAGGGAGTGTATAGAAAGTAACAAAACGGCCGACATCCTGAATAGGAGGAACGAGTGTAGAAAATTGAGAAGGATCTATTGATGGCTGTTAGATAGACATACGAAGGGATAGAGGGAACATGAAGAGCCACTATACAAGAGAAAGAGGCTGGATTAAGCTCGAGTCTAGTTGGGCTCCCATTCCTCTCATGACATGAGCGTTAGATACATACACAATAGACAAAAGCACATACGTACGCATGAGTCAACATTAGAGGATCGGACGCTAGTTTATTTATTCATGTAGGGAAACAGGTGCCAATTAGGCCACTTATGCTTTTTTAATTAATTTCACTTTTCTGCAAGCATGTAAAGTAAGTATGAGGTATCCAACCAAATCATGGGATGTCTCATTACGATCGCAAGGATTAGTTAATAAAAAAAGTGTCTTTGGTTGGAGCAGGTCGCACATTCTCTTAGCCTTATTATATCCTTTGAGCTATGTCGTAGCTACTAGTTTCTTGTTATGGCTATGCCTGTTACATGGCAGACGAATGCTTAGCAGGTTCGCTGGACCACGAGCCGAGGACTTCATCTCACAATCCAACAGTTTTCACTGCGCAGCAATCCACCTTTAGTTTCCAAAAGAATCATTTCACTAACTTCTGACAACCAAATTTTTCGTCGAAATATAGAGTCATACCGCATTAAGGAGTTCGTCAAAACCATTTTTTTCTTTATATCATTAAATTACACCGCCTTAATTTTAAGAGGAGCCAAAAAGTTGTGTAATCTAACGAAGATTAAATTATGTAAATTTAAAGACGGCATCAGAGATGAATCACACATATAAATAAATGATAAAATGGCTTTATTCCACAAGCCTATTCAACAATAGCATTAGTATAATTGTTAGGAACTTACATGCTGTGTGTGCTGATCCTTGATGCTCGCTATACCTCTTTGAGGCTCTCTTAATCCTGTCCTGTAACCCACTCAATTGAACAACTTTATTTTTTAATTGCTTCTTCGCATCTTCTAAGTTAGGAGTAGCAGACTCGATTGCCTTCTGAATTATCGAAACTAAAAAAAATAAAGAGTAATGTAAATGAAGCAGTTTTATCAGATTGACAGTCAATCTGGAGGAGAGCAATACCGTTTTACGAATTTCCAAGTGTTTCAGCGTCTAAAGACAAAGTTGGTATGGTAGAAGTAAAGAAAAGGCCTAATCCTGGTTGACCCTGTACAAACCACTAGTCTAGAAATTCGGTCAGCTTACACTTTCAGCTTAACAAGCAATAGGTGAATTGCAATAGGTGCCGAATAGCCGGTTTGCAGATTCAAAAGCTATGGTGTTCTGTAACTTCTGGGCACCCCATTTCCAGGTATGGGCGTAGGAAAGATATCGTCAGCAGCTGCCTATAACAATTATTTCCAAATGAAATGGTGATATGCTGGAGCGAAACACATTATCCTTACCCAGCGCTTGCAATAGATGGAAAGACTGGTTTTTGGTAA